TTAAACAGCATATACGACATACAAAACTGTGATATACACAATAACTATACCTTAATTTTAATTTTAATAAAATCAATACAGTTTAGATAAAACTGTCTCATCATCTGATTTTAAAACATTATGTCAGTGAAATAATATGAAGATTGTCAGGTAATAATTGCTCACCTTCGTTAAAATTATGAACGTACGTATCATAAGACATATCTTCAGACAAAATTAACGAAGAACTTTTTAATTCTTCGTCAGTTTTAAGAGCGCTATATAAATACCAAACGATGTTGCTCTCGAAGGTCAATTCAAATGGCATCTGCATGTATGTTCCAAATTCTGTATGTAGGAGATGAAAACAGAAACTAGATGCAAGATAAATTTGGATTTTATTATGGAAATTCAAGTAATTTAAAGGAATAAAAGATTCAGGACTAGCCTATTGAACATTAACAAAAGGAAACTCTTTTCATGCATTATCATAAACATTAGGCATCTCTGGCTACTGATAATATAGCTAGACCTACAATTTTCTATTTATTCAAAACTAATTTTTAGATTCCTTTTGTTGCTGGAAATTGATAGCACATACGGAATATCGCAAAATTGCTTTTGACCAGATCTATGAAACATTTTTAAATACGCCGATAATTATAATATAATATTAATAATAATATAAATATTAAGTAATAAGCTTTAGTTAGGTAACTGCTATTAAATAAATATTTTATACTTTTTGTTTTTCTTAAACAACGTATTTTAATATTTTAAACTCTCAGAAAATAWGAATAGTATAGAGATCAAATGTATTCAAACTAATTTTATTCCATGGCTTCGTCGATCTTCATAATATTTTAGTGTCTCTCAAATTATAAAGGACACAAAAGAAAATTAAAAATATACATAATATTTTAAACCAAAACAATGAATTGAATAACTATGAATGAAAAACTAAAATTAAATTTTCACGTCTATTATATTAATTGTCAATATTTTTTTTTCACAATTCTGTCATGGATCCTCGGACAAATATTTGTGACGACTCTTGAAAGACTTAATGTCGTTTGAATACATCTGGTATAAACAATTAAAATTTAGATCTAATTGTTCTACTTACTGCATAAGTTGTAATATAATATAAAAATAGTCTGATTAAACCACTTTTAATGAAAATTCAAAATTTGTATAAGAATAGTAAGTTAATAATATTCTCATTTTATTTAGGAAAACTTTAGCATTCTCCCCATGGAATATATCCGCTTTRCTATTAATAGAATATATATTTTACACAACTTGTTTTTTTTATGTTTGTTTAGTATTAATAAATTATTGTTGTGAATGGATAGGTTAAGGAATTACCAATTTGGATTAGCATAACCAGATGTAATCCTAAGAGGAATTGTTCTTCTTAAGAGATCAGTTTTAACCTTTATGAATGGTATTGCCTTCATGCATACAAAAATTAAAAATATAATATAATCTCTATAATAAAAATAAATATTTATCTATTGCCTATAATTTTAGTTACTATGTTTAGAAGATATCTATACCATAATTTTAGTTATAAAATGTATACTACCATTAAGACATTAACCAATTTAATTCTTCAATCGTTAATTACCAACAAAAATAACAACATAGTACCTAGTCATAACTCATCATTTCATCTACAATTTTATGATTATTAATTATATAATAACTCATTGTTAATAGCTACAAGTTAAAATATTATCAATTACATACAAATCATATTATATAAACACGATATATTATTATGTTTAAAATAAGTCAATAAATATGATAAGAGTATAATTAACTCATATTTTAATTATWTACCTTGTATAATTTTCAAGGGAGGACATTAAAACAAGTTAAGATGTTAAAGTTAAGTTACTTCTAACTATGTTACATAAAGAATTACTTTTTTATTAGAAGTAAGGAGTTAAATATTTTTTCCATGCTATGAAGTAAATTAATTGTATTGTCACTTTGTTATTTTTTTTCTAAGACCACTTTTAAAATACTTCCGATTTGAAAAAAAAATTGTTATAATATTTCATGTTCAAAGATCATTATCATAAAAATGATAGAGAAAACCCACGTCGTTGACAAAATGAGATAAATATTTACTTGGTATCCTAAAACACAGTATATTATACAGTTTGTATACTCACCTATAAAATTAATAACTATCATTTATTATTGTATTTTTATACGTTCATAGCAATTATAATTTAATATATTTGTTGACAATTCGGTAAACAAACACATGAAAATAATTATTTTGTTGGATTGTCATTTATTTAAGTACTTAAAGCAAAATATAGAAATTTATTTTAATGCATACATTGATTTAATTTAGTTCATATTATACTCGGCAAAACCTCCATACGATTTCTACATTATTTGTTAGCTTTATAAAAGGAATTTCAAATGAAGGAAAAATGMAACTGATTTTTAAGCAAGTCACTTTTATTTTCTAATTAACATACAATTTTTCCAAGTTTTAAAAAAGAAAAGTAACTTTTTAACTTTATTCTTAACTTTTGTACTATAATAGTTAACTTGTCCAGTTTTGATAATAATATCCAATAGGTATTAGTAATTATTAAAAAAAAAGGTGCCCTATAGTCACACAACGTCGAAGAACTTTCAATAGAATATTTAACTTATTTTAACTCTTAATCAGTATGTTATTTTTTATAATTTTTAAATTTTTATTTTATGTACATTTTTATTACATAGTTATTTAATAAATTCAAGTTTTGAAAAATAATTATTGAATCAATAGATAATGGCAAATTTTTACTATTATACTATAAAAGTAAAGTAGCCAGAACTCAAATAAGTACTCATAGAGCCACAAACTTATTGTAAATATTTTAATTTAATATCACAATTTATTTGATATATTACACTTGGATATACGAGTACATAAATTAAGTGAAATCAATCTATAATATTGTGTCAAACAAACTGAAAGTTGGTGGCTCTACCTACCACAAAGTTTTCAACACATCAGGAAAAAATTATTTGTGTAAAACTAAACAAAATACTATATAGAAGCAAGACCGGATATAGTTATGTGCATGAGTTGTCGTTGCATCATAATAATTGTTACACGTTATTATTTTATAGAATTATTGAGAAAACATCCACTATTGTTGTGTGAATTATTTTAAATAAAACATAATATTCAGATTATTTATTGAAGTCACTAATTGCCAGTTTTTTATATGTCAGCAAAACCTAATCCGAAAAATGAAGAAAAAAATTCCTAAATGGCATTCATTTTTGAAAACTTCCAATTGAAATATAGGTACGAGATCAGCCCTACAAGATCATTAAAAATCCATGGTATAAAAATGTAAAATATATTGAATATTAATGTAGAAAATCAGACTAACACTGAACTTATTACAATATATATYATATTATTTACAAAAAACGTGAACCCAAAAATGTGTTTACTATTGAAACATTTCATGTACTAAGTTTTAAGAGTATGTATAATACCTTTTTAATATCATATTATTAAAGTAATTTCATAACAATATTATTAATTCAATTGTTACAAAATTGAAAAAAAGGTCATTAATTATTGTTTGAACTGTTAGAGAAAAATACTGAATATGGTAAATATGGTAGAAAAAAATAAGGAACATTTCATTAAGATAAGAATTTATATTTATATTTAAATTTTAAGAGCTTAACATTAGTTTTTTTTTTTTTTACTTAAATAAGTCAGTTAACTCCAGTTTGAACAAATGAGGTAACTACTTATTTGAACATTATTTTCTTAGATTAAAAAATCAAACACCAAGTCATAATTCTAGTAAGAAGTATAATTTTGAAAATATATGTATGATTATTAATTATATTAAATGAATAAACTATTTCGTGCACCTAATTTTACTTAAGATTATATTGAAATTGATCTACACACAATCGCACACACGCACACACAAGAAAAGAGTTAATTTAATGAACAGTTTATTATAAATATAAGACTTACAGTTAAGTATATTTGGTTAATTTTACCTTTCTGTTACATAAATCAATCTTCATATTTTATCGTTGTTAGATTCAATATATAAGTAAATATATTTAATACAAAAATTACAAGTWACACTCGCGGTATGACATATTTCTACCAATTGCAGTATTCCTTAAAAATAGCGGTCATAATTAATTTCAATATTTAATTTAACGAATAATCAATTACTTTTTATTACAACTTAAGTATTTTATTCAAAAATACAATAATTAAATCTACTCAATTAAGAACTATTAAATACATTTTAAGAAAATATTTAAAACCTCATAAAAGCAAATAAATATTCATGTATATTCTATACCAAAAATACAATAAATTAATCACTACATAGAAAATCAAAGAAAAGTTGGCCTCTCAATCATCACGCCACTACATTAATACCAATTTGTAAATCATTTATATGATTATCCATAACGATAAGTAATGGTTTTTGAGACGATATTAAGATTGCCTATTGCAATGTTACCTATAATATTAGTACTTATATTAATAACAGTTAATATTTATTATTAAATAAATAATAAATTTCCGAAATCAAGAAGATAAAAAAATTAATAGTTTTTAAGACCATTGACCAATGCAGTGTCAAGAATAATATAAAACCACTTAAAACATTAAATTATATAAAAATTACTAGCATGTTATTGTAGGTAATCGAAATACTGCTGTTTTAAATAGTAATTCAGAAAATCAGCAATATATGTATATAAAAAAAAAACAATAAATGAAAAAAAAAATGCAGTATGAATCAGGATCAAAATTGGTCTTTGTTTATGTTGAAAATTGTAGCATCAAATAATAAATTGTATGATTTGCATTAATGTAAAAATCAGTTGACTAAAAAAGATTATACCTAAATAATTCATAAGATAGGTACCAAAATTAGTTTTATCCTATATCAAGAATCATAAGCGGTTATGTGATATTGCAATAATGAGTAGATAGTAGATAATCATTTCATCTTTAAATGAAGAGATTTAATTATCCATTTCCAATTTTTTTTTTGTTCTATAATCTGTTTATTCTTAGGATCTTTTGAAATATTAAAATCTTCTACGATCCTGGCCGTTACGTCTGTCTTGACCCCACCTTCCGCCCCTGTCTCCTCTAGGGCCAGCGTCGAAAAGGCCTGGTGGCGGCAATACTCCTTGATTGTCACGTACAAAAGTTTCCACGAACGGCGTCGATTCCTATCGGTTATCAAATCAATCAACGCATTCATAGGGAATTAGTCAAGTAAACAATAAATTACCTAATAATAAAATAAATAAAATATTCAAAGAGAAGTAAGTTCTTATAAACTTTTTATTAGACTTGGAATACCAAAAAGATATGCATTGACAAATTGAAGTACCCTAAATACTTTAGAAATAGCTAAGTACTGAAGATTTAAAATAAAAAATATTGGATTTTAATTGGAATTGAATGTTGTTGATTTCAAAATCCAAATAAATACTATGAGCATACAATATACTCTTTACTAAAAAGATAAGTTGATAGATAAAACATATGATGTCTTTGAAAAAACTCAGATGTATAAAAAAAATATCAAGTAAGTAGATATATTTTTGAATTCATTAAATGAAATAAAAACAACCCCCAAGGAAAAATATTTTACTTCAAAAAATATAACACCACTTCAGTATGTATGTCTTTTTCTTTTATAGTCAGGAGAATGAAAATTGATGATGTGAACGCTCCCAGATAGTGAATTTCTATGATGGTTTGTAAAATAATGAAAAAAAGATTAACTTAGAAAGGTAAAAATAGGYAACTACAAAAAATAAAAATAAACAGGGAAAAAGGTCTATAAAAACAAAACTGCTCTTAGTGCTGGTTGATGGCATACCGCACAAAATATATTTTATACCAATCATGATTTGCATTACTCAAATCGAGAACCTCTGTTAATCGAAATAAAAATTGTTGCTATTATATTTGCTCACGGCCAATTTTAATTCTTCTGACTATAATAAATAGACCTAAGACTTCATGACTAATCTAAAATGAAATAATGAATGAATTATCTCCCATAAATATTAAGAAATCCTATTAATTATAATTGTATCAAAAGAACTCAATAGTAAAAACCATTGTCTGTCTTTTTAAGATAATGCTTAAATATATTAAACAATACGCATTATGATTATGAACAAATAAAAATTAATAAAATACTCAAATGGAAAAAATATGTTGTTTATAATATTATCAGAAGTTTTGATGTGTTATCTTCAACTAAATATCATATATTTTTACTTTTACTATACAACAAACATTTCCAAGACTGTTTTTCAACTAAATAACATATATTTTTATTTTTACCACAAAATAAACATTGTCAATACTGTTTTAATTGATAGAATATTCTCATAATATAAATTGAT